TTTGCGTTTGCAAATTACTTTCCGTCAGTTTCAGCATGGAGGAAATAATTTCCTCCATGGTTTCAGGTATATACAAGTGTATAAAAATGCATACTGAAATAATCCCTTCAACAATTCTTTTTTTCGAAACATGCCAGCGTTCGTCCGTCCTAATCTGTTTCCACCATGCCACGCACACCTAAAGAAGCTAACTCGTTTTGTTTGGCAATGGAACACATAAAAAAATAAAAGTTACAATTGCTTTACTTTAAAAATACAATACTTAGGCCTACCTTAGTGGTTTTGTTGATATGTATCACAAATATACACTTAATCATAAAACAATTGCGTCTTTTTGCTAAAGTACAGCTTCTTCTCCATATCCGTCGTCAATTTACGTCACGCGGTTCTCTGGAATTTCAAAATTTGCGGTCTGGTACTCAGGTGGATACATCCAGGATATTAGGTGAAAATGGCCACAAGAACACTTAGTTTAAAATAAATAATATTTTCCAAGGGTGTAAATAGTGATTATATTTGCCTTTTCGTTGGCGTGTACAAATATACACAGATGCATACGAAACACTTTTGAATTATATAAAAAGCATATAAAAGAAAGATGTTGATTGGAAAAATAGGTAAAAGACATTGGATAAAAAAATAAGTAAGAAAGTAATACTATTTTTAAAAATATGAACGTCCATATGTTATGTTAGTAATCCCTATCAAAGTCAGGCTCAGGAGGAAAAAACATGTTTTGATCCGGGCCTATGTTTACAATTTTCTTTTAATCGAAGACACAATTGCATATGATGAAACACTTGGAAGCTGTTAATGAGACAAGATTTTTGAATATTTAAAACAAAAAATATTGTATCGTTTTCCAACGAGTTGACATCAACTTTAATCATGTAAATTTTATCAACGTCCAAACAACATTATAGCCTACTTACAACTCTTTAGTCAACACAGAACCCCTCCCCCGTTAGTCCTCTCGGACCTTCCTCCGATCCGACACCTAATTCACAACTCCCCTCCATTTACAGATTCCCAGTAATTGTTCTTACTTGTATCGAGTACCATTTTCGTTACAATATCAAGACTTAGTGGAGTCACAGTATCGCATGGCCCATGAAGAATTTAATTCACAGTGGACATAAGCCTAACTGGAGTGTATGAATAGGCCTTATGACGCAGATATTCAGTTTTGGGTTTATGGCCCAAAAGGTAATATACAGGCCTAAATGAATCTGTTAGACGCAAATGATGAAAGTAAAGCCATTACCATATTCGTTACCAATATGCCTTGTATTGGCACGTAAAAGGCAACGTAATGAACATCGTCTCTATTAAGGTTTATTCATATTTTTTAGACTTTCAGCCATTTTTTTAGCCAGGTTTTAAAATGTCGCATCAGATATCGGTCTGAAATTAGTCAACGTCAACATTACTTTTTTTATATTGTCTTGTATCAGCCAATAATAATTGACTGTGACGATGATAAAGATGTAATGATAATAATGAAGTGATAATATCACAATACCCATTATGAACCTAAACATCAAAACATACCGTAATCAATGAACACCATGTTTTTGGAGAACATTTATTTCAAGAAAATAGTTTTGCTTCTGTAAAGATCACACGTTGTTTGTTTTAAAATGTAATACTTGATTGAACAAAGTGTCTATATGCTAAATCATATGGACAACCACAGTAACGAATATGCCTGGACATTAAACTAAACATTAAAGTCACTAAATCGTTATGAATAAAGTATAATTTATAAAATAGGACCTAGAAAATTTTTTGGAATTGTCCGAAAGTCGCAAAAGCTGGATACCCACTCTCACTACAAGTACATGATGGAGAAAAAAGGCACGTAGGCCTGTTTATAGTTATTAATAAATTGACTGAATCAAGCACCCGGATCAGTTATTGTTGTAATCGTCTTCCTTAAGAACTTACTCGATGATCTCTGCAAATAAAGCAAGGAAACGCCTTAATCAGCTAGATCATATTGAAGTTTTGTTTAAAAATTTTTAAGATGATTATAACATCCTGGTAAAAGGTGTTAATAAATAACATAAATATATATATTTATCATCATCAAATTAGTCTACTACCTGGGCGTGAACTTCAACCTTAACACTGGCAAAACAAACCATATAGGAAACCGACAAGCACATATCAATTCTGAATTCAATCACCCATCCATCATCAAACACATAGGCCTGCCCACAGCAATTGGAAAAAGAATATCATCACTATCTTCAAACAACGATGCATTCATGAAAGCCCCGAACACATAGAAGGGCATAGATCCTACTAAGATCCAGTGGATATACCGGTACAGAAACCACACAACACAGAAAACAAAACAACAACGGAAAGGAAGAAAAAGAATCGAAGCAGAAATATTATCTGGTTCAGACTCCCCCACCCCACCCCACACAGTAAATATGTAAAAAACCAACGTACTTTCATCAAACTCATCAACAATTACACAAATTCAACAAAATAAAAAATAAAAAAATAAAAAAATAAAAAAAAAAAACACCTAAAAATCAGGTATAGCTGCATGAAAAACATGAATTCAATCATCAAGGGGCATAACTCACATCATCAAAAAAGAAAACGAAGCGACTCCGGAAAGAAGATGTGACTGAAAAAACCAAAAAGAAGTGTCCCCTACGAGAAGAATGTCTAATCAAAGCCCTCATATACAGCGCAAGCAGTTCATCCAATACCTAGGGCTATAAGGCGGGACTTTCAAACAAGGATACAACCATACAAAATATTTAGACATGAACGATACGAAAATGAAACAGAACTATAAAAGGAGTGTGCATTTACAATTCGTTGGGACATACCGTATATAAAGGAAAACAAAGGAAAACAAACACACAAAAACACCTCCACACACACACACACACACACCCACACACACATGTCGTAGTGCTCTCCAGAACGTAAACACTCCGCTCTCTGAATGTACGTAATACTATCACGTACGCACGTACTACTAATACGTGCGCACGTATTATTATCACGTATGTACGTATTACTATCACGTACCGGTACGTACGTATTATTAATACGTACGTACGTACATATTACTATCACGTACGTACGTGATAATTTTTTTTTTCTTTTGATTATCTGTGTCTTCGTATGAAACTTTACCAAGCTGTTGCGATGCTTCCATTCACGGAGTCCTTATGGTGTCACAGAACGCGACCGTATGATCCTAAGGTGCAGAACAAAACAACCGGACATCCAAGCAAATTATAGTCACACACATTTCAAATCTCTCAGGTTAATAACTATGCATGAAGCATTATATTAGGCCTATGTGCGGATTGCACTGTATAGGCCTAAGTAATACATGTATTAACGTACGGTATACACATAAAATGACATTTCAAAAATCCAAATACCTGGATATAAATATAATGACTACGGTAGGTAGGTTAATTAATTTTGTATGTGTATTAGTAAAACGCAATACCGTAAAACCTCGAATAGAAGCACAATGGGCTTAATCTCGAGAAGCCCATCTCGAATTGAAGCCCTTCTTTAGTTGCAAAATTAGCCTCGAAAAGAAGCCCATCAATAAACAGTACTTACACTGCACATAAATTATATATATATATTGTGTAACGTTTTATTCAAAAATTGAATACATTCTTCACAGGAAGAAAAGAGCTAAAACAACCTGATGACAAAGGATCGATCATTACAGTATTATTATTATTTTTTTTTTTTTAATAAATAAATAAATTATAAGAAACAAATGTAAATTAAACACACGCTTTGTTTATACAGAAGATGATTTAATGTCGTTTAATATACTTCATGATTTAGAATTGATGTGGCCCGATCCGTACATTGGGCAGATTGGGATTTTACTTTTACATTGTCATCATATGCCTACATTCGGCATATTAGGCTTTTCGTTTCAATCATTCCATTGATATCACAGGACTGCATTCGTCAGAATTAGGCTTTTCGTTTATCATTCCATTGAGATCCTGTCTACATTTGGAAGATTATGCTATTACATTGAGATCATAGGCCTAAATTCGGCATATTAGGCTTTTCGTTTCAATCGTTCCATTGATATCACAGGACTGCATTCGGCAGAATAAGGCTTTTCGTTTATCATTCCATTGAGATCCTGTCTACATTTGGCAGAATTAAGCTTTCCGTTTTTCATTCCATTGAGATCTTGCCTACATTTGGAAGATTATGCTATTACATTGAGATCATAGGCCTAAATTCGGCAGATTAGGCTTTCTGTTTATTATTATTGAGATCATGGGTCTACATTCGGTAGAAGAATCAGGCTTTTCGTTTATAATTACTACAAGCTGTTAAGTTGTACGAATATACGTTGGTGTTCTGGTTTGGCCTAAAACTACACAAACTACCTGTAGTAAAAAACCGCTTCTTGGTTATAAATGCACCTTATTAGAAAACGTGCTTTGGCGGCACAACCAGCCGCCCCGCTGCACGAAGGCCTATGCGGTAGGATTTGTATTACTCTTTATATTAAACAACAAATTACGCGTGATACCGATCGTTACTAGTAAATAGTCCTCAATACAACCAAGACACTCATCCAACAATTAAAGAGGAATGCATAACGATTTTTCGTAGTTTTTCTGACGAATGTTTAATGTTGGATAGGTTTCCAAATAAGATATGTTCATAATTACAGTTTAGAAAGGTTCGGTGATTCAGAAAGTTATCAACATTATGTTTTTGTCTGCAATGGGGGTTGTCTGAAATTATTTATGGCTTTAAAGAAAATCAATAAATAAGGCACAGCACCATATCAAGTCTTGCTTTGGTACAAAAATTAGTAACGAACAGAAGTCTGCAAAGTCATTTTGGTCTGCTTACAAACGTCAGCGTAACACACACATACACCCGCACACGAACGTAAGCACACACATACACATTCACAGACGATTGCATAGGTTCCTTGTTTAGAAATGTACCAATAACACAAATCATACGACTTAATTTGTTTTGTTTTAATACAGTGCAATATCATTTGAATATTTGTAACATCCAAATTCAACAGAGAAATATTACTTACATGACATATAGTAGGCCTATATAAAGTAATTTTGTTTACAGTACAGATGTCACACTTTTGCGCCAAACAACTCGCATAGAAATGCTGAACAAATTAAAAGTTAAATGCCAAATCAAAATACTAAGTGTATTTCCCCCCCCCCATCCTGACTTGTCAAAATTACACTATAAGGTAATTACGTTAGCCAGACATGACTCCTATTTAAACAATATTTTAACTGAATATAGTACCTTCACACGGAGAGAAAAAAGATAAGCTAAAAAAACAGAGTGATACAATTACAAACATTCATGCAGAGATCAATGTTCCCATTTAGGTATACCACTACTCTAAATCCGACCCACCTTTTTTTCATATATTCATTTCATTTTAAGTTATTTTTTTTATTTTTGGAAATTTTTTTTTAAATGATTTTTATTTTCTGAAATATAAGAGTGTGCTGATGTAGGATCCTTGAAACCCTGGATATATCAAATTTTCTTTGACAAAAAAACTGTTGTACACCCATATATAGTCATGATGTGCCTATATATGGTCATGATGTGATGTCATTATGACCAAATTTAGACATATCACATGTTTTTGATCAAATAAAATTTGGTAATCTGGACACAGGGCATTAACAAGCAGAACACATTATTTACACCCCTACAAGGAGACATACCAGAACTAATTGAAATCACAGCGTGGCCACTGTGACAAATGAAATTATACCACAGAATGCTGCGCTTCAATAGTGGATACACACATGGGATTTACGGCAGTTGGGTATACAGTACTTATGACATTCAAACTAACGTATTTGGTTAAAAATAGATTTAACATGTTCCCTGAACATCCCTTTCCTAATTGCCTTTTTAGGTGAGGTGAGAAAATTTAAAGAATATGCACCTCTAGATGCTCGGAAATGGTACTTTTTTTTTTTTTTGCAATTTAACGAAATTTACAATCAATTAATTATGCTACATTACGCTACGTTTTCCTGAAATTAAGTGTAGCATTAATGCTACATGCTACGGGGGTCCAAATTATGCCAAAATCCATAATTATGCTACAAATGGCCACTATGAATGATCACCAACACACCCTATAAGGGATGAAGTGGGAAGGCCGCATAAACTAGTGCATGGTGGGAAGTCAAGGACCCAGAATGGTAAACAAAGCACACACCAATAATACTGAAGCAAAGACGGTAAACTGTTGAGTGGAAATATTAATTTAAACAAAAAGTACGCCAAGCTATTTCTACAAAGTTGCAAACAATTCAAGATATTTTTTTTTTCACAATCCGTTAAAAAGCATTCTAAACATGCTTATGAACTGGCAAATTTAGTCTGGTAAAGCTTGGACATATTTACAAGCGACTATTTTTGAGATCACAAAATATAATCAATTTTGTATTAATATCATACTTATTTATAATCTGTAATTGTAAAGTCTACATCAAAAACCTTATAAATGCTATTCAAACTTATAACTGTTTTCCCTTCCCATTTATATAAATGGATCAAAGCTAAACTATAGGATTGATTAAACCTTTTCTGTTCTATGCAATAAACATACAATATATATATTGGTATTTATATAACATATCTAATATAATATTACATATATTGTATATCATATTATTTTACTTTCCTGTTGATAAATTTCTTAAAACAACTTAAAGGAGGAAAACATAAAAATATGAAAAAAATATATATATAAAATTAACATCAGTAATGTTAAATTCTACTTTAATTTAAAAAAAAAAAAAAATAAAAAAAAAAAAATGAATTTGTAACAGAAAAAGTTTTAAAATTAGCCATTACAAACTAGTTACATTAAACTTGAAAAAAAAAAGATCTTAAAATCAAAGATTTGGCAGCAGTATCCATGGTAACACACCTCACACACATGGCATTAAAATAAGGGGGTCAAACACCACTGCAGGTAAGTAAATTCAAGCAGAAACAAGAACACTAACCAATCACAGGAAACTTGAATACAGTACAGTTTAATGTGCTTGGAATTATTCGAAGGAAAACATGGCAAATGTAAGTATCCCTATTATGGGATAACACAATCTCCTCTCATAAACGGTTTTTGAATACTTTTCGATCGATATTTTTATGAGTCTGTGTAATGCGTCATTGGTGGAAATTCGTTTTCATCGTGGAGAGGTAGAGTGCCCTCACGTTGTATACCCTCCTCAACAGCCTCACTTAGAAGTTCATCTGTCTTCGGTCTTGTTGATTTTTCAGTAGCCTGAGCATAATCTACATATATGATTAAGATAATGATTAGATGGAAAATGTGGTGGAGAAACCCATAATGAAATTATTTGAAAACATTCAGGATAGTTATAAGGGTTAAAATTTTTATCTTAAAAAATGTTATTGTTGTCTGTCACCTCTATTGCTATACCGTGAAACCTTCAATAGAAGCCCTGGGATATTTTTTTTTCCCAACCTTTGGATGGGCTTCTTTTCAAGGCTACTTTTACTCAGTAAAAAGGAAGGCTTCTTTTCAAAATGTATGTTGTAAATTTTGGGAATTACTACTGTAAAACAATAGGGCCACTGTAAACTTTTTTTTTTCACCCATGAAATCCTGTTTAAAATAAACAAGAAAATCATTTTTTAATTATGACTTGTTAAAGTAGACTTGAATAGAAGTCCCTGATATCTTGAATAGAAGCCCATGGGCTTCTTTTTCAGGCTAATTTTAAAAAACTAAAGAGGGGTGGGGGGGTGAAGAGGTTGAACTCAAGATGGGCTTCTTCTGGGATTAAGCCTATTGGGCTTCTATTCGAAGGTTTTACAGCATTTTTATATTTTAGTAAGTACAGCATAGAGGCTTTCAACTGAAAGCAATTCATAACAAAAATAAATTAAATGATAAGATGATAATGATGATGATGATGATTTGATAATGGATGACAATGAAGATGATATGATAATGCTGATGGCGATGATGATGATGAAGAAGATAAAGATGATGATGATGATGTAGATAATGATGATGGTAATTATGATGACCTTGATGTTGATGATCATAATGATGGTGATGATAATGATGATGGTGATAATGAAGTAGATGATGACAATGATGACAACAATGATGATGATGACAATGATGATGATAATGCTGTTGATGATGATGGTTATGAAGATGATGATGGTGATTATAATAATAATAATGAATGACAAAGACATTGGTGGTAATGAAGACAGTGATGGTGGTAATCATGCTACTGGTGATGTGACAACAACAATGAATGATGAAGAAATCTGTACAATATTTACCCTGGTAACATAAAACATTACCAAGCTTATTATTTCAATCCTAAAGTGTTGTAAAATATAATTATTTTAATATCAAATATAATTTTTAGTCAATACACTCATACAAGAAGAAATGAGTCATGTTAATGGAATAGTGTTAAAGAGAATTTGATGAGGATAGTTGATATGTAAGAGTATGATTACAGGATACCATGATACAGAATTGAAGACCATTGAAATGTTGTGTACATGACCCAGAATCAGTAATGTAGGCCTATTGGCCGTGATGCAAAAAATGCAAGGGACAATGTTAAGTCAGTAATAAATTTTCATAATATTAAGTGCGAGTCAGGCATAAAGAACCATATCTGCCGATGCTGCTGTACCAACTTCTTCGCTTTAATCTTTATTCAATGTAATCCTAAACTACACCTGTTCCAAATTATATGTATTGGTGTAGGAAAGAGAGAGAATTTAGTTTTTCATTATAAATGGATTTGCTTGTGGGGTCAGGGGTCAAACCAAGCAAGGAGCAGAGTGCTTATAGTCAAACATTCTAGTTTTCCCACAAGATTGCAAGGAAATACATTTTTTGCCTGAAGACATTATCAAAAAAAAACTAGCTCAATTTATCAGTGGTGGACAAAAAAAATGGATTTTAGGGTCAAAGAAAATGTTTCATTTAGTTCCGAGAGCCACACACAAACTTAGATTTTTATTTGCTTGTGAAACTTCACGCAGGGATGTAGTTATGGTGGGCGGGCCAACCAGCCTTGAAATTTTCCACCCAGTCTAAAGCTAATTTCATGCCCTTCACCCACCCTTATTAACCCACTTTTCCATCCTTAAAATCCCCTCTTCTTATTTATAGTTTATTAATGTTATCACCTACCACCCCTTAAAGTGTCTATGACTCATCCTTAGTTTTCTACAGCTAAAACCCTGTTCATTCACTACTGTCATAGCTCTATGCTGAGTTTAAATACTGCATCTAAAGATGATCGGTGTAGAGCCAAAACAAAAAGGGACTTTCTAGCCAAAGGTCATATGTGAGCCACACAGAGTTTTTAATATATTTTTGCAGGCCACATGGAAATTTTTGTCAAGCCGCATTATGGCTGCGAGCTGCACCTTGTCCACATGGATTAGCAAACAAGCGTCTACAATTATTATTGAAGATCATATTGACAAGTCCTCTATCATTTTCATATATTGTGATAAGCTTCTAGTTAAGAATTATCCTTAATACTTGAGATATTTAAATTTAAGCCTAAGATAGATTCATTACATTTTTATGTATTTTATATTTGGTTTATTTATTATACTTTCCAATAAAACATCTGAAACAGAACGATTAGAGCAAACTGCCAAAGAATTATTCTAAATGTAAGGGTGGGTGAATATAAAAATGTATTTATTGCTACAAAAATTTTCTTCTTATGTAAATGGAATATGTATTTATGCCCACTAAACACAAGAATGTTAGTGACAATTTGTGCTGTCAAGTTTTAAGAAAACTGTTTTCTGCGTGTTTCCTAAAAGCTTACTGTACCTATATTTTGCTATGAGTTGACTTCTGGGTCGGAATTCAGGGGATCAGAGGTTATGGCGCTAAGACTGAATAGAGCTGTTAAAAAATATCAAAACCCACAGAAAACTTTCCTTGGTAAAACCAACAATCAAGAAGCAATTACACAGAAGCCAGGACACACATACAAACATGAAAGTACCCTCTGCTCAAAACAGACAGACAAAGCTTTTGCCCCACGAAAACAGCCTAGAATACAGTATACCGCAAATCCATGAATTAGCACTACCAATACTATTATTATTAATTTTTGTTATATTAACAGTCAAAATATTGTTCCTCTCAATGACTGCTGGTGTTGGATATACAGAGATGATACACCATAGCAAGCACGACACCGCGAGGGTCAAGGGTCGGAGGTTAAAATACATGCAGCCTACCGTTTGTGTCATGATTTACCTGTAGCCTTGGTAGTATGTGGTGAAGATTGTGTGTGTACATTAGAGGCAGCCGCTGCTGCAAAAGTACCTCGAGTTAGTGAAGGCCGCTCGGCCCACTCCTCTCCACCCGGGTTGCTCTCACCTTCGGCACCATCAGCGGGGGCTTCAGTATTCTCAGCACCATCAAGTCTAGCGAAAAATAATATAAGAATATTGAATTAAACAGTTTTTCTAAAAATCTGTCTGGCTAGATATAGCTACAAATCATTTTGAAGTACCGTACTTTTGTCAGCTGCCGTATGGCATATATAAAGTATTATAATGATAGCGAGATGGGAATTGAACCGGGGACCTAGATCTCCACGGTTCAGCGCACACACAGTGGCTACCACCAAATTAGGTGACTAAGCTAAGCTGCTTGGCCACTTACCTATGTTGCTTGAGTAAAGTACAGTCACCTCCATCAGTAGGATCTAGGTTGTAGATATACAAATAGCCATCAGCTGCTGCAATCAACACCCTTGGTTTGGATATCCTAGCAAAGAAAATTATTAAGATATTTTTTTATTCAACAGAGAGAAGTAGATCAAGAAAGTTAATTTTCTTATCTTCATTTCACTTACTTATTTGATTCATTTCATTTAATTTTTTTTTAAAATTAATAATAATGGTAAGGTATATAATTATTATCCTTGCAGTGAATTAACAGCTAATACCAGAATTCAAAATATAAAATATTATTTAATCATTGTTCCATCTCACAGCAGTATGCTATCTATTTTAATATTAATACAAGTAAATTTCAACAATTTTGTATAATCTCTTTATAGGATTTAAATATAACTTTGTTAATACGTATGTCAATCATTGACTAATGAATCCATTAGTTAACACAAATTGAATAGAATGATGGACATTTTTTAAATCCAAAATAAAGCCACCTTTTGTTTATTTTGCTATTTATCTATTTATCAATTATTTAATTGTATTGTATGGTTTAGGGGTGGGGATGAATTTATGTAGTTAAGAAACAGGGTCAAGCTTGATTAGAGAAATCTATTTCTTGGCTCTCAGTGTAATTCATGCCATGTTGTATCATGTATGTTTGCAATAAAGAAATGTTGTTACTTACGTGACTAGAGCACAAACATTTCTAATACCAGAGAAAGGTAGCTTAACTGTGGCAAATGCTCGGCCTTGTGAGAACACCTCAGTAACTTGTGAGGGCAAATACGTGGCAGAATTCATCAGTGCTTTCCCCAGGTACCCCATCCAAGTACTAGGCTCTTCCTGAGGTTTGCTACTAAAGTAAGAATATTTTTTAAAAATTTAAATAAAGATCATGTGATATACTTTAAAGACCATCGTTGAAGGGGTCTTTGAAAATCCATCGTGGAAGGGGATGTCCATCAGCGTCTTGGATCGGTGATGTTAAAAATGTTATAACACACCAAATGTATGGTGCAACTTGTTTGACACTAGATAGAAGAAGATGACGTGCTCTTGTGAAGGCCACAACAGCGCAAATCTGCGCCACATGCCCAGAGAGAGAGAGAAAGAGAGATTACTTTTTCCAACATATAGAGGGCAGTATACTGCTTTTTCTCTTCATGGTTGTACTCTTTAAATCTAACAAATAATATAATATACATATTCCCAACCAAAGCTAACCACACAAGTAGCCTGATACCGACATAATGTCAAAATATTGAATCCTGAAACGATGGCATGCATTTCGATATTTGGAGTATGTATTATACTATGTAATAGCCAGCATTGTTTTGAACAATTAAACTCAAGGTTGGGACCCAAGAATGCTGCCTGTGCACCATCCATTCATAAGCATGTTTAAAGTACAGTAATTATAAAATCTTCATTGCACACTAAATACCAACCTTTCTTTAGTCGTTTCCAGTTTGAAAATATGAACAGTTTCAGTGTTGCTGGACACACAGAGGAATGTTGATTCAGTATTGAATGCCAACGAACTAATGCTCACACACCTAACATGAAATCATAGAGCTATTAAACAACTAGAGTGCTGACAAGATGGCGAAGCAATGCAGAGCTATGTATGTGTACCATCCAAGATGGCAGTCGTAGTAAAGCGCCCCCTTCAGGCTTAGTATACATATTATTACCATAAATAAGCCCTCTGACTGACTATTATTTAATTAATTATAATGAGTAATAGTAATAACAAATTATTAAACATTCGTAGCCAAAATTAGGCCAAGTGGAGCATCTTATTCAAAAATAAAAAACCAAGGAATGAAAATTAAAATCGTGTACATTACACCCATACACTGCAATGCTTGAGTTTCAAACATAGGGGTAACTAGCTGTACTGAACTTTCTGTGTAAATTGAGGGCACAATTGTAAATGATGGTGCTTAAGCGAAATTTGATTGGCTAAATCTATGGCAGCCATCTTGGATGGTACACACACACAGCTCTGCGTAATTCGTACATCGAATACATTGCAGTTTAGCACTCTAGTATTCTTATTATATCTCTATGTATGAAATACATAATCAAACCAACATCCAATCAAATTTATATCACTTGCAAAATGGATACCCATAAAATCTAAACAACCCAATTATATTTACCTACATGAAGTCAAAAATTAATTGTTCAAGTTCTGGATGAAAACGTTTTTTTTTAACGAAAAACCCATGTAGCCACAATCTGAAGCAGCCTTGATTACGCGTGTATCACGGTAACTATGCAGCCATTTTGTTTTGTCGAGTATTTACCAGTTTTCTATTCAACTGATCGTCTTAATTTGACCAGTAAAATACGGCCTAAGCAATATAAACAGGGCCACCACAACCAGTTTCCCTTTTATCAGTTGTTATGTGTTATGTTTTTTTATATGTTCATTGAAAAAACATGATTTGAAATAATAACAAGAATAAAGTATAATGGTATTCATAATAACAATAATAATACAAAAAATTTATAAAAAAAAATAAATAAATAAAAGGCACAGTTAGGTTTACTTAATGATTGTTAAATTGGTGGCTAACAACCAGACTGATTAATTAATTTGTTTATATTTTAAATTTTATTTTTGAGTTTAACAGGAGCTTTCCAATATCTATTTTCTGTGTGTACAATTCTTTATGACAAGACTTATGGCTTACCGTTTTACACCTCGTCGGAATTCAAAAATTTTCTGGCCTTCAGGAATAGTAAACACACGAATAACGGTTCCCTTTGAAAAAATACGAAAGCAAAATAAATTAATGAACATTAAAGAAAGTTTCATAAAAAAACAAAATATTATAGCATTTGTTAAAATTATTAACAGATCTCTGCTCAGCGACGAAGGCGTATCCCATACTGGGGTTGGGGTGCTGGCTTGGGGTTCTTACTTCCTTGTTTTTCCAATTACATCTTTTCACTTGTTTTTGCGCATAGAGACCTTCGTATTTGGCACAGTATATATGCACAACCTCGAAATAATCTTGGTTATTAAAATTTTAATAAATCTTGATGAAAAAATACTATTAAAGATAAAAGAAAATATAATTTTCATTTCATTAATGTAACTTGTATGGAAGAAAAGAAGATATAAAACAAATATCATGAATTATTAAAATGTCTGATTCAAATTTTTCCAAAAATTCGCAGGCAAGTAGAACAATTTCTGTACTGTATTGTACTACAATCCTATTACTACTATATCCTATAACAACATTCATAAGCATTGACATTATAATTAGCATGGGGACCCTGAAACTGATGTTACTTGAGCGAGAAGTGTATTCCTGGAAGGAAATTAAGTACTTTCTTGTTGCTGTTCCAAAAAAAAAAAATCAACACATTTACATATGACTTAGTTTTTCTACAGCAGTCAAAAAAAGACCAGAAAATAATGTTTCTTTGGCAATCAAATATAGTTCATGTCTTAAGAGCTATTTATGTGGTGCACTTTTTAGCTACTATAGTGTTCTATAATTGGACTAATGATATGGGTCAAACTGTTTCATGGTATAGCATTCAAATAAATATTTACATAAAAAAGTATATATTGCAGAACAGAATCAGAATTACAGAGTTGTTAAATAGTAATCAAATACAAGAACACAGAAAAATCACAACATCAAACCAGCGGCAAAAAAAAAATTTACAGCAAATATTAATAATGATAATAATACTAATAATAATAATAATAATAAGAATAAGAATATTAATAACAATGACGGCAGCGACGAGGACGACAACAATAATACTGTATATAATAATGATAATGATAATAATAATACAGTACTCATAAAAGTAATCGCACAGAAGGTTTTCCTCTTTTATAACAGGTAATAATGAGGCAGACTCGAGTACACTAGCTTTCGCTGGTAGTCGATGCCAACTTCATCAGGTGCCTTGATAAAACTAACACTGCAACAAAACTGCCCAGCAACTGTTAAGTCATTTACTTTTAGATAAGAATAAAAAAACATTCTAGGAAAGTAAAGCAATACTTTACAAACCTTTTCTGATGCTGTTGCTAGTTTAGAGCCAGTTGAGTCAAAAGCGAGTGCAGCCAGACAGCTATCGTGAGCTGGGATCATGTTCACCGCTTGTAGGTTTACCGTGTCAAATATCTGTACCTCCCCTATATGGCTACTGCCAGGGTAGGCTAGGTAGCAATTATCATTGCTGATAGACAGGGCGCACAGTCCTTGCGGGTTGGGCGGGGTCTCTCGGATCGTGTGCAGAACCTTCATGTCACGGATATTGTGTATGTATAGACTCTCCTCCAGCGCAACGATAAGTCGCTAAACGAATCAAATGGAGAAAAAGATGAAAACTAATTACTTAGAAGATTAGAAGATGATTGTAGTATTCTTATCTTGTATGTGCAAACGTCAACAAATTAATTATTATCAGAGATCCCTTTCACACAGACAAACACACACCACACACCACACACACACACACACACATACAAAGTTTACACAAACTAAATCTTAATATGAGGCTTATAAGGTGTGAAGTTTTTTTGTTCGTAAGAAAAAAATCACTACTAAATTGACAGAAATTGAACCCAGGACCCTGGGATTGGAGGGCAATCATCTTAACCACCAAGCTGTTCATTCCAAGAATATCAGAAAAAAACTTGTGGTTTTAAACGAATCAAATCATAGGTCAGAAGGGTCTGAAACTAACCACAAATGCATAAAATAAAATTCTTACCCAAACTTATATATTTCTATCTACTAATTCAAGTATACTTAAGAAACTATACAGTATCTCATCTATATTATATTGTTGTGACAATAAAGTTTTAGTAGATCTACTTCATTTGACTGTCAGTGTTATTTTTCTTTGTTGTATGGTTAACACAGCACTCATTGTACGCCAGTGTTTTAGAAAAGCATATGTTACGCATGAATAAATATTGGCAGATCAAGTCAAATTTAATATTCACACCAGCTGATCTGATTGTAACATAGCATTTTAGACACAATAATCCAATGTCTACTATCAACAAGAAGTGAGAGGATTATGTTATAATGCTAAATGACATATACAGACTCTTTTCAATTGGCAGATTCAGGAGCGGAAGACTGCAAAACCACAGATTTTATACATTGTAAGTGCAAAACGTGTTCATCTGGCGTTAATTATTCTTGAAATTCCATTCTGATTTTGTATGCTATTTTATGCAGAAGTTACCATATACCATATTTTTACTAGCATGTCAATTACTGATTGTTTTATGAGAGTAGACTGTACACAAGAAAGTATAATACATACTCCAAGTATTGAAATACACGACATCGTGTTGGGATTCAATATTTCGACATTAATTATGTCATCATCAGGAATGATGATGTACACTACCACATGTTTATCTAGAGTTAATTTATCCCTGGATTTCTGTTTGGTTTTGCATGAATTTTTTGAATTCAGAAGATGTACAGTGAATTGTGGACTTGAATTTGAAATTGATGCACCATTATAATTTTTTTTTTTAATAGCTAATTGAACTAAAGCATTGATTGGGCCTCTATATAGTGAAAACAATATCGTCATTCAGAACATGCTAAAATAATGATGGACTTTTAATGGATTGTTTAAATATCAACAAGAAAAATAATTAAAACTTTCTATTATGTGTATTATAAAGCACAAAATCCTAAGTCCCTGTGCCCACTCTTTATGCTACACTGGTCATTAACCAATCAACAGTGGGCAATTGCTTTGCGGTATATCATGCAGCACAGTCTAATTTCGTTCTTAAACTAGAGCATCATTCCATTCCATACAGTACACACCTCCACTCTGTCCTTGAACCAAATAATAAGGACCTTTTCATTGTATTAGTGCAGAAGCAGAGGCAGCTGTGAAAATTCCCCTCTTGATTCAAACCCTGCCAAACATTTTGGAACCCTGTTGGCAAAATTTCTGGATTCACCGCTGCAAGGGTAAGATATAGTTTAACGTAATGATGTTACTTAAACTGGGCATTCACTGCACCGAATGGGCGTCTGCAAACACAATTCTATGGAGAACCCAACACCACGACACGCACGTAATGGATCGTTTTTAACGACAATCCATTCATGTTGCCACTGACAACCGACGCAGCTTAATATTCATCTACGGGAACGTTGAGTTTCTCTTTGTCATCCGAACCCTCTCTTCCCGCCTTTAAGTATAAACTTACCATTCGGTTGAGCTTTACAGCCAGGATAGTGTTGGAGTAACTGTAGTTGCATATTTCCGTACCTTTCTTGAAATGACACACCTTCAGCTTACGCGGAGATGACAAGCTAACGATCGCAACGAGACTGCTGGAGAACAGTCGTTCAACAATGCAGATATCCTCATTGTCTAATTATTAAAATAAAAAAATTTAAACTTGAGACATGCACATAGATGTAAACAAAAAACTTGAACATAACTGAATGCATTTATGACATTTGTATAATTATAACTGAATAGATACATAAATAGCATTTGCAACAGACAATGGAATCAGAAAACAGATATGGATGAAATTTAATGAAAAGAAAAACCATAATGATAATAATTATTAATAAATTAATGCTTATATTTTTTTCACACTAAATTTTAGAGCAAAATAAAAAAAAGATTCTGATCTACCAAAGTAGAATTACATAGAGCAGTAAGATGTTATTTCAGCAAATTGTGAATTGAAATGTTCCAAAATGTATTTTAAGATGATAATAATTTTTTTTTTAAACTAGTAAGAGGCAAAATTAAATGATGACAATTTAAGTAAAGGAAAGTCTGTAATTTAAAAAAAATGAATTACAAGGTGAAAGCATTTTTGTGATGATTAAACAAAGTTCAATGTCAATTATTATAGTGACTGATGATTCTTATGTAAAGTTATTACATCATTGCTATTTTTGGAAATGACCTAATTTGCAAATTGTGTATTTAAAAAATGTTAAAAGTTAACAAGAACTACTGTAATACTGAATAATAATAATACAGAAAAGTAGTGTCAATACAAAATGCTATGTTTTTTTGCAATTGACAATACTGTACTTTGATTGTCTAATTGCTAGAGTTGTATCGTTATAGAAGAATATCATGCCAAATTACTGTATAAATAAGATAAGATAAGATAAACATTATTGTCATGACAAGAAAACAAGTTGTACATCACGCAGATGAGCAGTGATTCTTTGACTGCCTTGCACTCAATACTATAAATAATTTAATGACCAACCATAAATATGTAAATACTTCTGTTTATAAAACAAAATTATCATCATTTTAAATAATATTATCATTATCATTGTTCTTATATTTTAATATAGTTTGACATTAAAGTTTTCACTATACACCTTTATTATATCATTATCATATTAATTATTAAATACTCTAAATCCATATTTAGTTGAAAAAAAACTGAATGAACTCTCAGTAACAACTGAAAACAATGCTAACTGTATGTGATTATAACATAGAGGGTGCTATATAATTTTAGAGGGTACTAATAATAATAATAACAATAATAATAATAATAATAATAATAATAATAATAATAATAATAATAATAATAATAATCGGAGTAGGCTTGTTCCACCACCACAACCATAGACGAGCGTGCCGTTCAAACCTGCGCCGATATTATGGCTGTAGGTTGCAGCGTCCCTGCTAAACGCTCGGCCATTCAACATCTATGTTTGAATGATTTTCTTTCATGCGTGGGAGTCCACAAAATGGTAACTCTGTAATATTTTGGATCAATGATGTGTTACAGTCAAGAGAGGTTCCAATGGCTTATCTTAATCAATTTTATAATATTTATAGACAGAGTCTACTAATTTGTAGAAAATACATAATGTTTTTCTACCCAACAATTTTTGGTTTTTTTGACCTGGTGCCACCCCTAACAGTCAACTTAGTGGGATTTTGAATATTAATGCAAAGAATTGTTAAACCTAAAGTGAATAATACATTAAAAATAGATTAAGTAGAGTATGTCTCGTGCAATACAGACAGGAAATCATTGGGTATAACACAGCTCATTTTACACAATACAATTGTTATCATCATCAATATACTAGTTGTACTGAAGCACTAAAGAATATTGTATAATAATGTATAATGTAGCACTATAGAAACACTGATACAAATTAGAATAATAATAAATTGTAATATCATACATAATGTATTCTTCAATTACTATATAAATATTTATTACTTTTGACTCCAACACCTGTGAATATTATATTAACTATACATATTACTACACAATATTTTACTACAGTACACTACCATTTGAAATAAATTTATACTGACACCAATTAATCTTAATTAGTATCATTATTTAAGAATTGTTATATTGTTCTTGTGATCATATGTAATTTATTTTAATACATGGATTGCCAACCATTTCCTGTACATTTGTTTTTGTAAAGATTAACATGTTTTGTATTTTATATTATTTTCTATGTTTTTGTTTTCCTTCTCACAGGGAATGACATTGGTTGTAATCATTTGAATACTACAATTAGAGCGATCAAATAAACCACATTATGCGTGACAAAAAATCTACTGATCACTGATGAAAATTCTGCTTTCAAATAAAAATTTAAATCAGGGGTTACAAGTCTTCTGCAAGTCGCGGGAATCTTCCAGAAATCGGGAAGGCCTCCCGCACTCCGAGGAGCAATCAAATATCTCCCGAAAAATAACTAATCTTCCTGTTTTTAATATAGTGTATTATCAGTTTTCTCCCGAAAGTCAGTACCGATGAGCATCACCATTCTTGGCAAAATAAAATTTGATGCGATAAAGAAAGCTAATTTAAATAGATCTCCTGGAATTGGAAGTGGCTTCTTCCAATTTGCGACCACTGAAAAATTGTAAATTTTCTTACCACCACTAGAAGGACCCCACTGGAAATAAATCCAATCTAATCTTTTTTAAACTTTCGTGGGTTATTGTTGGTGTTTACACTAAGTAAATCCATCCATCCTTACCAACAATCTAATAATTATATTGACATTGTGTTAAATTTCATCCTTTATTCTCATTTTCCTTTAAAAATAATTCAGTTAATTACCATTTTCATAGATCGGTTCGAGTTTGTCAACAGAATTAAGTGAGAATAACCGGTAACCTGTTTCAGTGCCAACTGCCAAGGACCTACAGTATAAAAAAAAACAAAAGGAATATTACAGGACAAAAGATCATCTATAATGTACTACAGAAGTTTGATAAATAGCATACAAACAAATTATAAAAATTTCAGCACCAAGGTAAAGTAGTGTTCGAAAGTGATGACAGCATTCATATCTGTAAAGAAGCTACAATTTCCATGTTTTGCCTAGGCCTACTAAGAGTTTATTCTTAGTTGGAAAATCAATCCTTGTTACAACCTCCTTTGTTTTGTTTTGTTTACTCAATGATCACCTTAGTGGCTTTAAAATCATTTTAAACAAAACAACAACAAAAAAACACGAATGGCATTTTCACTGTCAGTGGTTCAGATCACAGAAGAGAAGCATCTGGGATAAAAATAAATTTGCGACAAAAAGAAAAAGAAAAAAGGGTACCTAAAGTTTAAGGTCAACATTGTTTACACTGCACCACACTCAGGTCATTACTATACTGTATTCCATCAGCAGCCCCAGCTAGCCTATGCCTATGGGCTAGATTTAGGCCTAGTTAGCAGCAGGGATAGGCTAGCCTACACATTACCTAGCTAGGCGGAGGTTGCGAACTTACGTGCAATCTTGATTAAACGTAGCAAATAATAAAGGCGAATCTGGCTGTCTACGACCTAGGCTTGCGAGATTCATTTGTCTGCTCTAACTCTCCTCAAGTACAGTAACGGCAAAACTTCGCCAAGATAACATCAGAAAGGGGAGAGTTATGCAGTTTATTCTTTTCAATTTGGGGTACAATACGCAATTCCCTGCAGCTGACTATTGTTTACCAAAAATCCTCTTATTTTGATGGCGCAACAAAAGGTTAGTATATATAGCGCCCTCTATAATCAGTAATCATCAAGATTTGATCTCAAGATATTATTAGTAGGTCCATGATCTTATTATGTAATCACCAAAGGCAGACCTAATTACCTTGTCCCATAAAAGTTTTGTAAAGCCAGTTATTTTTTAACATTAACAAAATAACTTATGAGCAAACCATGATTTCTCTAATAACAGCAGTCTGTAAAAAGACACTTTACCGTATGGAAATCGGATGCACAGTTACCTTATTTGGATGGATCTACCGGAGTATGGAGACGTGAAGCTAGCTTATGTGTCCCTCTTGACATTCGGTGCATACGGGTTAAACTTAAGGGGGTTGTTAGACCAGTGTTTTTGTAGACGGTTTTTGAATTGTTTAATTGTAAGAGAGTCCACAATTGAGTTTGGTAAAGCGTATTGTGTCAAGAAGCTCTAATAAGGGTACTCAATTGCAAAATGACAAATGATAACAAAATTAATTGGATTGAAGTGTGACGTAAGGAGAAAAACAGGCATTCAATCGATCGATCGGGGGAACAGGGGACTATGGGCTTTAATTAAAATGAAGATCACAACCCCCATAGAAGTTTTATGTATGCAATCTTGTGCCAGGAACTAGCGATGTCAAAGATTACCATGTGTGAATTTGAAGCTGAAACGTTATAATTGCTCTTCTTTTTTTTGTCTCTGTTGATCAGAAGCTCAGTGAACGGATATGGAAGGCGGACTATCATGGCCAGAAGTGCCATCATTATAAAGTATTTTGAATCAAGAAATACTTATCAAATTTGTATCTCTACCATCCAGTATGAGTTACCCTGTTAATGTCTTATAATAATCATATTTTCTGCAATTGTTGTAGGTTGGATTTGAAGGTGCTTTACTGACTAATAAACACACTTACATAATAATGGAATACGTTCCGGGTGGAGATCTTTTGGACTACATTAACAACAAAGGTTTGTTAGAGTTAAAGTAAATTATCTATTTTAAAAAACACCCTCAAAAGTATATAAAAAAAACTCTTAAAAGTATGTCTGTTAGGCATTTCTACAATTATTATGATAGCATTTTAACACTCTAACAACAATTTGTTACAAGTGCTGCTCTAAAATAAATGTCTCTCCTGATAAGCGCATTGCATACAATGTCATCATGTCAGTGCGTACTACTACCCCTCTACAACCACTACTACCACCTCATATACATAAGAAAATATTGCGGTGGTTCTTCATCTGTATAGAATGCAGTATCTAAACAAAGGTGTGTTTTCCATATTGCTATTCTTGACAAGAAATTATACTCTGTTGTTATACCATATTTTCACGACTTTCGTTTACTGCATACAGGTCATTTATCTGAATGCGAGTCGCGCCGGATATTTCACCAACTGCTAGATGTGATGACGTATTTACATAATTTGGACGTTGTACACAGGGACATTAAATGTGAGAATATTCTTATGGATCGACAAAACAACATCAAGTTAGCGGGTAAGATATGTTGTAATCGATATTGAGAAATGTAAAGATAACAAGATATAGTATAGCTGTCGTTATTGCTGTCCATTGCTGCTGTTTTTACTACTTTTGTCAGTGGCGTATCCCGGAATTTGAAAAGGGTCGGGTGGTAGGGGGTGGTGCCGAATTGAAATATTACATCATCTGCAAAGTGCAAAAACTAGGCACGGAGGGTATATCGATGGCTATGACTACATCATAAATTATTTACCGTCTAAAATACGGTACATACTTTGTCATTAACTTTTTCAAATTTTAAAAAAGTGGGTGCTTACGCCACTGATTGTACTGTTGCTGCTGATGCTGCTGTTGCTTCTTTTGCTGTTGTTTTTGCTGCTTTTACTGCTGCTGCTTAGTTTATTTTAGTTGTTGTATAATGTTACTGCTACTGACGTTGTTGCTTCTGATATCGTTACTCTTTATTATTGCTTTAAGATCTTGGGTTTGCGACCTTCTGCGATCGTAGTAATTTCCTGAAAACAGCGTGTGGATCGTATGTATATACTGCACCTGAGATTCACGAAGGTGGTTCTTATGATGGCAAGATGGCCGATATTTGGAGCATGGGTAAGTTCCGAGATCATGTCTTTGCTAAGTCAATATATTGTCAATGGTGAACGGGGATAGAACAGAGGATGGTATGGTTACACATCAACTACAACGTAGAAGAATGTTCAGTTATTATCCGAACTAATTTCTACAAATACGGGACATGTCAATGGACATCATATAACAAAGCTGTGTAGACAAATAAAAAAATCAAATTTCCGCGAGATCAAGAAAGCTAGAAAATATGGGGTTTATGCCAGTGATGTAGCTTTCAAAATTATTCCGAGATGTACTGTATGATTGACTGAATGCATGCTAACTGGTATTGAGATTGTAAATGCTCAACTACCTACTGTACACTGGAATATCATAAAAAAACTTGTGTTTTTCCATATTGTTCAGGGGCGGATCCAGAGATGTCCAAAAGGAGGTGGGGCGGGGGCGGAAGTTGGGCCGACGAGACAACACCATCCTAGGGGGTCCGGGGACATTCCCTCTCGAAATTTGTGTTCTGCATGCCCGAAAATAACATTTGAGGCATTCTGGACTATCTTTTTTTTTTAATCTCCCAAAAATCCACCCCTGCTGTTTATTTGTACATCTTGCTTTAAGGTGTTGTCCTGTACGCTATGTTATGCGGACGATTGCCCTTTCGTGATGACGACTTCAACATTTTGATGGCGTCCTTCAGGAAAAGAGAGAAACTTCATTTCCATAAGAAAGTTTCTAAAGGTAACGAAATGTTCTTTTATTGATAAAAATTTATTCGCTTTCATCTTCTATAACGTAGCCGAAACCTACTTTGAAAACATGTGTCTTACTTCGGCGGATGATGTCGAAGTTGCCGCATGAAGTTAGCAGCATTCTCACTTTGTGCAATGCACATGCGTAATTGTTTAATAAAACCTTTTTTACGTCCGTCGAGAACAAAGATCTTGGATTTACCATACTTAAACGGAAGTACATGGTGAGCGGATCTATTAGGATGTATGTTAAGTAATTAGATTTGTACGTGGTACATTGAAACAATTACATTTTCACTATGTTTTTTCAATCTGCAAATCTCCAACCAATTTCTTTTTATATTATTTATTGTATGAATTGCACCAAGTTGCAAATGATACTATAATTTTTTTTAGTTAACTGATATTACAGTACTCTAATATTTTTTATTGTGATCAAAAGTTTAAACTTTCGTTACATTATCATTATGTTTGTTGCAGACTGTCGAGCTTTTGTGAGATCAATGATTTGTTTAGATTGGGAGAACCGCGCCACAGTTGATGATCTGAAGCATTCCGATTGGTTGAATCGACCAATAGACACCTCAACCGCCGACTTTGGTACACCTTGCTCATCCGAAGCTTTCATTGGTGAAGACATACATACTTTACTTATACTTACCTATTTGCATAAAATAAGTCAATTTTAAGAAAATGGGTCCACATTATTGGAATTTACACGTAAAGTGGGTCCACCCCGATATTGTCCCGC